CTTGATATTATTAATATCAGTTTTGAATATAGCCATATTCATTATAAATATTAACAATATTAGAGCATTTTTTATTATGATTAAATTTAAATTATAGGTATATATAGATCTTTAAAAATAGAACAATATACTCTTGTACTATAGTTAGAGATTTTTTTATATTTGGAGATATCTAAAGCAAAGTAGATTCTTTATATTTTATTAAATTAACTTTAGTGCTAGAATTAAGATTAGAGTAGGTTTTAGATAGTTATACAGTTGCACTCTTCTAAATATATGCTCTCAAGATATAGCCACTTATTTGTGCAAGTAATACAAATTTTTAAAAAGAAAATAGCCAATTAGAGAATAATTCTACTTTTAAATCCTAATATCCAAAATCTTGATAGCCTATAATCTTGATATGCATAATCTCAAAAAAGACAAAATTCTGACAAGATTAAATTTTGACTAAAACAAAAGCTTGACTGTCAAAATCTTAATATTCAAAATATTAATAGCCAAAATCCTGATAGTCAATATCTTGTTATTTAAAATATTAAACTATTAGTATTTCAGAAGATTAAAACCCTAAAAATCTTCAATGCAAATAAAGCTGTAATCTAATTAGATATAATTAAATAGATATTTAACAAACTGGGTATCAAAATTGTAACTATATAATGTAACAAAAATGCATTGAGCAAATGTGCTATATAGGTGGAGTCAATAAAAAAGAGACAAATTATTTTTAGTATAATTTTTTTAATTTTTAAATTAAAATATCTTAACAACTAATTAAAAAAATTTGCTAAATTTTTTTTTATTTTAATTTTTAGAATTATATAGAATTAAAATAAAAAAAAATTATAAAATTTAATAAGATAATTGCTAAAATATTTAAATCTAAAATTAAGAAAACTTTTATTTAAAAAAAATTTGTCTCTTTTTTATTGACTTCACTTTATATAATTAATGTTGAGGATAATACTGAAATTAGCTAATGCTGAAATTTAGAGTTACCATTTAAATCTATAATATCTACTAAAATTCATATATACTTTTTTACTAACAATACTAACCCTAAATCCTAATCTAATCCTAAAAAAATCTCCTAATGAAAAGGCCTGAAAATTTTTTAAAATTTCATAATAAAATAGGTCAAAATTTCAGTATTATCTGATTTCAGCTTCATCTTTGACAATTAATTTTTGTGTATTATTAGAATTTAATATAGAATGCAATCATGTTTTAGTTATAGAATTATTTTATCCAAACTCTAGATAAATTCTAAAACCTTAATTAAAGATTTAGCTCTATTATTTTTTTAATTATAATTTTTTTACTCTAATATCAGCCTTAATTCTATTTGTTAGATTAAGTTGTTACAATTTCTATTTGGTTTACTATAAAAACTTTTATTACAAAACTTACAAACTTTTAACCAAACTACTGTAGCCCAAATATAATTCAATATCACAGATTAAATACAATTTATCATATTTATTTGATTTATCTAATTTATTGAATTTATCCAATTTATCAAATTTATTGAATTTGTCAGATTTATTGAATTTATCGAATTTGTTAGATTTATCTGATTTATTAGATTTATTGAATTTGTCAGATTTATCAAATTTGTCAGATTTATTGAATTTGTTAAATTTGTTACATTTATTGAATTTATTGGTATTATTAATTTCCTGGGAGCTTAAAAATTACAACAGAGATTCTCTATGAACATAAGATACAGATGGCCCAAAGGGTCATCTGTATTATATAATCATTAGAATCTCTGTTGTAATTTTTAACTCCTTACAGAAAATTCATGAATAATACCCTGCCTTACGTTGTTCATGCCTACCTTTATTATAATTTTTCGTGTGATTATTTGTGACTGAGAATCTTCTTATAGAAGATTTCCAGTCATAATATGATCTTGTAGGAAATTATAATGAAGGTAGATATGAACAACAAATAGTAAGGCAAGGTATTATAGTACCAAATCTTTATTATAAATAAAGAATGCAAAAGCTCTAAAAAACTAAGTCTCACACTACTTACAATTATCATTCTCTAATAAATATTATCTCATTTTATAAAACTCTTAAAACCTTAAATAAACACCACTATAATAAATAATCCAAATATAAATCAATCACTAAGTAGCATAGTAAAAGGTCTTTGTTTGCATAATTGTCTTGCTCATATGACTTTATAGACAATTATTGTTTTTTTCAGTTTATTCTCAATATACTAAGACTTCTGTAGTTGTTGTATTCTGGTTTAGAGATTAAACTATGGTATTGCTATCTAACTCTTTCAACATATCAAGAATAGTTGTAGTAAAATATTTTGTTTTGGTTTGAAATCAAGTAGAAGGTCTTAGCTGTGGTTTTTGAGTTAAAATTATTGTAGATAAAAACTATAAATGCTAGTATATATTAACAAGGATCAATATAAGCCAAAAGAAGTTATACTTACAATCTAAATCACTCTTGCCCAAATCTAATTGACTAAGCTGATTATAGGTTATACAATATCTAGATTCGATTAGTGACTAATTTGTCATTTTCTGGTAGCAATAGTTAAACTTATTGTAAAAAATTTTGCTACAAAAATTTAAAACCTATTATGATGATATAATGTATATCGTCAAAGTTAAGTTAGTTTGTAGTTAAAATTATAGTTTTAAATTCTATATTGATTTATTGTAAAAAATTTTAGTATGAACTTGTCATAATATATACAGTAGTTTGTATTAAAATTACAGTCATGAATTCTATCAAAATTTGCTATAAGAATTTATTGTAAAATTTGAGCTATTGCATTATATATAGTATATAGTTGAGTTAGATAAATTAGAATTAATAAGTATGATTTTAATTATAAAAATTTTGTTAAACTTACTATAGCAGTATATCAGAACTAATTGCTCTATAATTTACTATAAAAAATTGTTACAAAATTTGCAGGCTATTGTAATAATATATAGGAATTAATTTGTATTAGAAATAACAGTTGTAATTTTTATTGTAAAAAATTTATTACAAGACTTTATACTTGCTATTGTAATATATAGTTGAATTGGTTTGTATTGAAATAAATATGATTTTACTATAGCAATTTTGTTACAAAACTTACTAGCTATTATAATATACAGTATTTTTGAGTTAAAATTAATAGTTGTAATTTCTATTATGATTTTTTGTAAGAAATTTTGTTTCAAAAATTCAAGTAACAAAGATATAATCAAGATTGAGTTTGTGCTTTATTATAATTTATATAAAAAAAAATTTAGTATATACTGTATATATATATATATATATATATATATACCAAATTTAATTATAGTGGTTGTGATTCTAAGTAAAATATAAAAATTACAGAGTCACAATCTTGATCATAACTTGCTTATTGATATATTAGTTTTAATATTTTGATTATGTTTTTGTATAACCAATCAAATGCAATAAAGTATATATTGGCTTTATTGATAGATCAACATAAATTACAATAGTATTATAATCGCTAAAAAACATTATAATTATTAAATAATCTGGATGGCAACAAATCTGAATAAAAAGGATAAAAAATGGAAAATCTAGAAATTTACTGTTTATACAGAGATAAGAAATTTTTTATATTGTGTATTGCTACAATTAATATATATATATATATATTGTTAATCTAAATTTTTTTATAAATGATAATAGCAATAAAAGCAAATAAAATTGAATCATTTCAAAAAATCAATTCAATTTACCTAACATATACTATACAATAGCAATTATATAGTATACAATTCTATCTAAGAATTCTTTTAATGAACAATTATTCTAATCATTCATAATAGATATAATTCTTTTCTCTTTTTTGATTAAATTTATTTTTTGCTTGGAACAGGACTTACTATAGAAAATATAATTAATCTGATCCTCAACAACCTGCTACTTTTTTTGCATTTTTTGAATTATGGAATAGACAACAATATGAAAATCACTAGCTAATATTGTCTAATGATTATATCAACCTTCAACTGCATTTTAAGTTTTAGGAATACCTAGACCCAAAGACTCATATACTGACTATAATTCAGGTAGAAAGAGAGATGCAGTATGAATCTCCTGACTATTTCACAATTCCCATTTAACTATATTAAGAATATATGTTTTCTCAAACCATAAGTCCAAATTGTTTGCTTTTTCAGACATTTCTAGTTTTAGCATATTAAATGCACTTGGAATTTTCTGAGAAAGTAGAAAAGCCAAAGTAAATAAATATTTTATTTTAAGACTGAACCATGTATTAGTTCTGTATAAACCTGCATTGTATTATGTAATAATTAGTCAGATTATTAGAAATTTTTTAATTAGGGTATGAATCATGAATATTTGTAAATTATATATAAAACAATTTTTTTTAAATTATTTATAACCAAAAAAATTTTATAACATTACTGTATAAGTAAAAGCTAATTTTATTTGCTAATCTGTAATGTTGTATTCTTTTCCATTCATTCTATTCTAAATTAAAAAAGCATGTTTTATTAGTAACTCTAGAGAAGGCATATTGTGATGTATTAATTGCTACAAACTTAAAATCAGTAATAATTTTTAGAGGATTTAAATCAATTTTATTCTCATTAGCAAAGTTAACTAAACTCTCAAATTACCAGTCATACTGCTCCTCAGATTTATATAACATTAATGAATAGACAAAAGGAAGAATTTAGAAATTATCTGTAGTACTAACAGATACATGAATAGTATATAATTAGCAAAATATTGTAGTATAGTTTTAAAGATCCTATCTATTATGCAAAATAGTGCATGAGATAAGTGTCGAATATTTTTAACCATAATGAATACAAGAATTTGACTTCTCCCAACTAATCAGTCATTAATCAAAAAAAGATTACTATTTAGAGTAATTTGAAGAGGCTGTAGAATACTAAATTTTGTAATATTTCATAGTTGTGTTAGTAACTCTATTTTTCTAACATGATGAATTTTTTTATACTAAGTATTTACTGAAAGAAGATAAGATCTAACTTCCTCAGATATGCTAATAACAGCATTTTGGATAATTTTTGCAGGCTTATTTTTCATTGCCCAAGCTTGTTGTTTAACTTGGTGAACAACTTTAACAACTTCAGCATCTTGTACTTCGGGTACATATTTGTAGTTGTTGGTAAAGTGTACAAGGTAATGCTTATTGTCAATTAAATATATAACTGCCTACTCTTGTACTCATGGGATTTAACTTTGTCACAACACGATTAGACTCCTTTATTATCAGGTATTCATAAATATTAAGTTTTTTATTTTTTTTTTATAAAAGTACAGTTTTACAGATTTTATTCATTTTTACAATAAGATTTGTATTAAAAAAATAGAAAAAAATTTAATAGAAAAAAAAATTAAAAATTTTTACAACCAAAAAATTGATATTTTATAATTCAAAAAAAGGTTTTTATAAGTAACATTTTTGATTGATTATGGTATTATTACATATAAGTTTATTTAATTAAAAGCAAATTTAATATTTTTATTGTCAAATTACTAATGATCAAATTGATATATTAAAATTTACAATTAAGTTATGTTATTACATTATATATAAATATAATTATTAACTGATATAAGATAAGATATATTATTTATTTTTATATTTCTAGAATTGTATTGTTTTAAAAGTTTGTAATTCTAATAAATAGTATTATTTTTGTTATACTAAAAAGATAATATATATTAATCAAGAACAAAAAAAAAGATTAAGTTGTATATTGTAACTATTATAAGAGAGAGCTTGATATTAAAATGGTTATATGAATTAGACAATAAATTATAGTATTTAGATATTTATAATATATTAGGCATTTATTATAAAAGAATATAAATATATATGATCTTTATTTATAAAAGAATTTGGAAGAGCAAATGTTATCTTTAACTAAGGATAAAGACACACTCTTATATATATTCTAATTTTACAGATAGTTAATATTAGGATCTCAATACTTATGCTATAGATTTCATATTTGCTCAAGATACAATTATCACAAGTTTATACAATTGTGTATATGTGCTATTTGAGCATAAATGTTTTTGCATGAATTAAGCTACCAAAAACTATAACAGTACAATTATAGAAGGTGAGTGACAACTTAAAAAATTAGACAAAAATACAGAAGTAAAAAAACACAGAAAAAATTAATCATTATAGTATAAGTAGCAAGATGCTTTAATATTTTCACATTTTTTTTTACCTTTTTTTTTTATTTTTAACTTTTATTTTTTAATTCTTTATTTGATCATGATGATGCTCAAGCATCACAGTTATAATGATATTTATAGAATTAAATACTTGTGTATATTTTTCATAATGTTTGCTATACTATCTAAAAAAATCTAATAAAAAAATTTCTTTATAATCAACTATTAAACTTTCAACTTTAGTTATATTAGCTCCTCTTTTTAATGATTTTAACAATTTAAATTTTTTTATTATCTATCAATATAAAAAAATATCTAACCAAGCCTTTTAGTTTTAGATCTTTCTTATTGAGAAGATTTTAAATTTAAATAAGTAAAAAATAGATTATTATAGTTTGGTTAAACATTAAAAGAATTTTGTAATTTACTTCAGCTATTAAGTAAGATATTTGAGAACATCTTAGGGAACTAACTCTTATTATGTAAATATAGCACCTTCCTCTCTGGGGTGAAATTAATTCCTAGAGTATCAGAATTAGAAAAATTGTTGGCCTAGAGGAGGGGGGGCTATATTTATGTAATAAGTGATAGTCTCTTTATATCAATATTTTCTACTCTCACTATAATATAATAATTTTTCAGAATAATTTAAAATTTTAACTATTGTAAAAATTAGATTTTTTAGCATAATTAATTTATTATTATATATTGAAAGTAATATATATTGTCTATATAGAATGCTATTATTTGTTATATTTATTAACTACTATTTGAGTAGAGATGGATTAGCTTGTTCTAATCAGTTTTGAGTTCAATTTTTTTTTACATTAATATTATATATATGAGAACCTCTATAGCAAAACAAACCAGTAAGCAAAAAATTTTGATTTTGTAATTTTATAAAAATTGCATTTCTAATACTTTAATTCTTTGAGAAATTAGTTTTTTAAAAAAAAATTTTTTTTGCCCACTGGTTTGTTTTGCTATGGGGGTTCCCATATATTAAAGTTTAAAAATATTATCTATATTCTAAGCATGACTAACTGTGTTGAATTCTTTGTTATATATATAAAGTTTCGATAATAATTATTAACTATTATTTAGACTTAAAAGTATTTATATTACAAAGTCACAATTTTTGATACCCAGTTTGTTAAATATCTACTTAATATTAAACATATATCCAATGATTAATTTTTTCTGTATCACTTTACTTTCATATTTGTATATTTCTTTAAGTTGTAATATACTTTCTATAATTGTACTATTATAGTTATATTAATCTTGCTTTGTAGTATTAGGTATTATTATATGACTGAATTCATGCAAGAGCATTTACATTCTAAATAACATATATATGTGATTGCATAAACTTGTAATTATTATACCTTGATCAAATGCAAAATCTATAATATAAGTATTAAGATTTCTATATTGACAATCTGTAAAATTAAAATATATAAAAGGGTATGTATTCTTCCTTAATTGAGAGTAATATTTACTTTCCCAAATACTTCTATAAATAAAGATCTTATAAATTCATATTCTTTTATAATAAATGCTTAATAGGAGAGGGGTGGCGACCTAGTGTAGTGGTCTAGTTGTCACCCTCTCCAAGTGGCAGGTCTAGAGTTCAAATTCCATGGACGACGAATTTTGAAAAATAGCCTGTGTTATGGTTTACGGTTGTCGATTATCGGTTGGATCTAGAAATCTGTAATCTTGGTTATACTATCTAGTTATAGGAGCTTTGGTACAATAAATCTGAGGAACCAGAATAACCAAAAACCCATTTGGCAAGTTCTGAGTTTGGAGATAGTAGTGATCTATGACGGTATCACAGGAGGGCTGAATTCGAACTGGGGCCCAAGATCAGAGAACTGAGCAACCAGGTCCTTGGCAGAGAACACACCAGCTGAACCGCCAGGTTGTCGCACCAGAGGAAAAGGACATACGCTCTGAAAGTATGGATCAAGGAGGGGCATCCTTCAGGCACCTAAAGCCTGTGCAGACCAACCCATCCGGGTTGTCAGCTGGAAGTAAGAGAGGAACCAGTAAAGAATCCGGGTAAGAAGACGATCTAAATGTGGGGTACTGGGGTTGCTAGGAACCAAAATGAGGGCAAGGAGTACGTAATGGGCGCCTAGTTAGGAAGGTTGGTACTTGAGAAACGTCTGTAGAATGGCAGCACCCCAAAAGGTGGTGTAAGATATGAATACGGAATGGCAGGTCAATATGTATTAATTAGGAAGAAGTTATAGAAACAAGCATGTGAATACATGTATGGGACATGTACCACTATGTTAGATTTACCTCAAGAATAGTTAAGTGTCCTAAGGTAGGATGCGAAATCTATATTGGGTGATACCAAAATCTAGCGTATGAATAGTGAGGAAACCTATTGAATTAGAGGGCTGATGGAGGTAGTTAGAACCAGATGGTTTAAATGAGTACCCCCCCTAGTTGGGGTGCAGGTACGGCAGATAAGTGTAAAACCTTCGGGTGGACTACTTAAATAGGCACTCAAAAGGTGCACGTGTGGCTTGATATACCATCATTGTAATTACATATAAAACTTTGTTTATACTCTAATAAAAAGTTCCCCAGACCAAAGAGGTCACTTTAATACCAAAAAAAAAAAAAATAATAATACTAATTTGGATTTTATGCCAGGTAAACTTGATAGATTCATTAGTAACTACAGAGGTACCCAAGAAATTCGTGCCAGATTTTGTCAATCATTGGTTACGTGTCAGTATGGAATACAATTTTCAGCTTAAGATCCTATTAATAAATTTGAAAGTTTTCTAAAACTTCTAGCAATAATTTCTCAATAACTACTTTATCAAATTTGTAATTTTTTTTTATTTTAATTCTAAATATCTGTAGAATTGAAATAAAAAAAAGTTCATTAAGTTTTGTTTAGTAGTTGTTAAGAAATTATTATTAAAAGTTTAAAAAATATATATATATCTTTGAAAATAAAATTAGGTAAAATCTTTCTTTGAATTAAACAAAAATTTTTGACAACCAACTATTAGAATTTGTTAATTTTTTTTTATTTAATTCAATGAATCCATAAAATTAAAATAAAAAAGAGTTGATCAAATTTGAATAGTTGGTTGTTGAGAAATATTCATTAAAAGTTAAAAAAAAATTGACTGCAGCTTTTTTTTTTAAAACATTTAAACTTTAAATGAAGATTACTCAGCAATTATCTAGTCAAATTTGATCGAATTTTTTTTATTTAAATTCTATATATTTTTAATTAAAATAAAAAAAAATTAGTTGAATTTGAACAAATAGATGCTGAGTAATCCTTATAAAAGTTTAGGAGCCAATAAAAAAAAAAAGCTGCAGCAAATTTTTTTTAAATTTTAACAAATATTTCTCAACAACCAGCTATTCAAATTCGATCAACTCTTTTTTATCTCATATGCACACATTCTATATACTTTATACATTTGGTATGCAAGAGTTTATATCCAACCAATTAACATAGCATTTTCTAAATACAAATTTTAATATGCAAAGAGAAAATTTCAAGTTATTCATATTGCTTATTTTTTTTTTTTTTATTAAGCAGTCCTGCCTTTATTCATGTGAACTGTTATATAATTTATATACAATTTGTACTAAATTCTTACAACCTATAGCTTATTTCAATAAAGACTCACCAGAGATAAAACCCAATGCAACCTGCCATAACAACTATTAACCTCTTGCAGGATCCTTAACTTGCTAAGGATTTCATATTAGAATGATACTTCCTTTAATTATTAGTAGATGTTGTATGTCTTGTCAGAACCACCTATCTTCTTTTAAAACTTTTCCCACCTAGGTCCGGGCAGAATAGTTTATCTTTTATATTTGTATAAGGGAAGAAAATAAATGCCATATTTACAAAAGAAAAAAAGATTTAGGGAAAGAAAAGAATATATAGAAGAAAAGCGAGAAAAAAAAAAAAAAAATAACCTAAAAATAGTTCGATCATAAATGGACAAAGATGAGAAAAGCAAAAAAAAGATTGGTAATTCT